GCGCGGGCAGCGAAAATTAGGGAGGCTGGCAGCTATGCAGGCTAGGTTGACTACAGTATTATCATGTATCGTGAGGTGTATTCAAAGTTGACATGAATGATTTATGTGTTTCAGGGTGGTGTACAACAGTGTTGGTAACGTTACTGAAGCCAGGAAATCCAGTGGAAGTGGCGAAGAAAATTTGGATGAAAATGTAAGAAAATGTCTTATTTTATTACTGGTACTTGTTAAAGCAAGTCGTGTTGTTCTCGCACTCATGAAACACTCGTCTCACATGCAACCGAGGAGAATTTCACACAACACTGAAAGCTGCGGTAGTTGAATCCCTTTCAATCCCCAGCTTTCTGTTGTTATTGTCACTACCTACACAGACTGTTCAAGTTCAACTGCGCATGACACATGCACTAACCACTAACATGAAAACCTCGTCGCATCAACTCATCTTTCCTCTGTTATTATTATTCAGTTCACTCCCCATTGAGGCTTTTCAGTGACTGAGGACGCTTTCCATAACATGGCCAGACCGATCAAATTGTTGAACGCAAAACGTTTGAGCTTTGCACCTACAGTATCTAACCGGAAAATTTGGATCAAATTAGAATGAGGTCGATTTTCGCTAGATATTTGAGAAATATAGACCAGATCTTTCCACTAATACAAAGACATAAATTTTGGTCTGATCGATCTGGCCATTTAATGGAAAGCGCCCTGATTACATCAAGTATTACGCTTACTTATGTTACTTAGCCTAGACTAATTATCTTTACAACAATTGTGATATTACTTTCCTAACTATCTTTATGTTAACCCACCCTGTCAACCTTTTCCTTGTGGGAAGAAACTGGAGAGAAAACCCACGACTTTCGGCAGAGCCTTCCATAGCGAGAATCCCACGCATTCAGAGGTGAAAGCCCCTCTGACCACTGCGCCATTTTTTCTCTAGAAACGTTGGAGTGTGAAGTATGTCGTCAGTCATCTTGGGACAGACAGTCTACCCAAGTGTGACCTCATCAACTACCTTCAAGATCATGCTGACTCAGCGTTCTTAAGAAAATGGAAACTTACTGGAAGTACAAAGAGTATTAGAAAGAACAGAAATTGCTCTCAACTTGTCTCTGCTTACAAGGTACCGTCTCTAAAACTGTCTTTGAGTTGCACAATAACCTCAAGATACACCGATTCTTTCGAATTTGTGTACACTAATTTTACTTATATTGGATTGCTTTATCAGTCCAGTTGTTCCAAGCTGGATTAGCGCTAATTCTGGATTCAAATTTAATCTGTTGTCTAGGTTTGTCTATCTCTGCACGTCTGTTTCAAAACTTTAGAAAATAAAACTTCTGATGTCCACACAAGATTTCTAGAAAAATATTTTCATATTTATAAACAAGCTGTTTGGAGAATTGCTTTGACGTTAACCTAGGGACGTTTGAGCTTAACCTAGGGACGTTTGACGCTAACCTAGGGACGTATGACGTTAACCGATGGTTAAGCTAACCTGCTTTTGAACAACCGGCCCCGAACTGTTCTCTCTCTCCCTATTGTTTTTCCTCCAACAATATACATGAATTCTATTCACGCTATCTTAGGAATTCTGCAAGTTGTATTCTCCTGTTCTGTCTAAACGCGGAAGTGCTTCAACATCCGAGCAAACATCCCTGGTCAGAAAATCAAGTTCATCTCAGAGTAGTGTGGTCAGCGGTCATACGAGCTTGGACTCCGTCGAGGACATCTTGAAACTGGTCAGACTTCTCTACTCGATATCAACAACGTCCATGGAGGAATTCGGTGAAAATGGTGCGTTTGGTTTTATTTCTGTACCATCTCGTTAAATGGTTTGACTGTTTTCAAACGCACAGCGGGTTGCAGTATTGATATTTCTGTAAATTTCTTTGTAGCTGACGAGAATTACGGATTTATTATTCCTTCGGAAGAATTTAGCAGCAAGAAGATCACAACAAAACTCATCCAACAGATCAAGGTAAGCCATCTTGAGTCGCGAAGCAGTTTCAATACAACATGTGTTGATCAGAATTTGATGCATTTCCCAGTCAGATCAGTGGCTGAGTGGTGATTTCCATTTCTTTACTTTCTCCTTAGGATCCATTGATGTCAAGTAGTGGTTCTCTCCCAAGCTGGTGCGAGAATGTGATGAGTTTATATCCCATGTTATTCCCATTTGATACCAGACAGATGTATTTTAATAGCACTGCATTTGGCTGTGCGAGGTAGGTAATGTGAAAACTGCCGGTACAAGAAAGCTGTTGATTTCATTACTAATACAGGCCCCTTTATACTTGCTATTTTTGCTACGATTTTCTTCTGATGCATATGAACAAGTAGATGAGTTATGAATGTTCGGAGTACATGTACTCTCTCTGAACATTCATAACTCATCCACTCGTTCACATCCATCAGAAGAAGAAAATCGCCTCTACGATTGCAAGGACTCGTCATCTTCGCTCACGTCATATTATATTGTGACGATGATTAGCAAGCAGGCAGTGATACTAGCAACTTGCTCTTATTATGACGTCATGGGACACTTTTGATCTTGGTAGTAATTGATACTTCGTATATTTTAGAACGATCATCTGGCTGCAAACTTCCCGTGATGCAGCGGTGGAGCGGTCAAGAACACCAAGTTCTCGACGAGATGATCAACATGAGTTTTCTATTGGTCGCTTGAAACACGAGAGAATACGTATCTCTAGAGATGACGGGGTAGGGAAATTGATTGTGATCATTATTTTCTTCGTCAAGCACCAAGTTTGTCTAAACTAAGCCGTCGTGTCGCATGAAGATAGTCGACTCAGTCTGCCTAGGGGGAGGAGGTCAGGGGGAGGAGGCGTTCACCCAGGCCTCATGTAAACAGCGAGACAATACTATGACCCAACGAAATCGTTCCACTCTAGCTTCTTCCTGATGTAAAACTGGCTAATCCTCCATGGAGCTAGATGTATCCTGAATGTGTTTTAGGAAATTGGTCCTAGTATTCATGTTTCATTTCTGTTTTAGCTTCTTGGTTCAGCCATCAGAGTACTTAACTTCCACAGCGAAAGAAAAGCGATACTCGAAGTAAGTTACTTTATTATTATTATCATTTATTATTATTATAACATCTTTATACACTGTAACTAATCAACCGTATTACCTAAGTATTTACAAAAATTATAAAGGTTGTTTTTCATTAGGCCGTGTTACTAAATTAAAATTCGAAATGCTATTATATATCCCGAAGACACTTCATGAAGTATTTTCTTCAAAGCGTTTACAAAGTTACTGACCCCTGAATGAAGAGTAACAACTTTCATAACAATACCAACTGACCAGATTTGTCAAGCAAAACCTGTGCTGAAGTGCATTAACTAATGTGCGTTTCTTTTTCAGTTTGAATTCGAGGGTGAAGAAGGCACTGGTCTCGGTCCTACACTGGAGTTCTATTCTCTGGTTGCTGCCGCGCTTCAAGAAAAGAGTCTGGGAATATTTCTCTGTGATGACGACACACATGATCACGTCGAACAGGAGGTAAACTGTTAAACAACAGAGTGCTGTCACGTGACGCCATCGTGGAGCGACCAATCATTGCACCGGTTTTTAAAAAATCACGTGCACCAAACATTAACTCAGATACTTCATCTTGTATTTCAGGTTGATATAGGTCATGGTATACGAGCTCCGGGATACTACATCCAAAGAGCTGGAGGTTTATTCCCGGCACCTTTACCCCAAGATGGCAGCGAGATAGAACGTGTTTGTAAGCTGTTCACATTTCTGGGAATTTTCCTTGCGAAATCTCTTCAAGACAATCGTCTGGTTGATCTACCACTCTCACGATCTTTCCTCAAGTTATTATGTAATGGTGGCGGTGATAATAGTATGGTACCCACTCTCCCGACTACACACGGCCATGCAAGTCATCTCTCGCTCGCCGAAGGATTGGAGGACTCTTGTAGTTATGAAGAAGAACGAGAATCTGTAAGGAATTTGACCACCAATGAACTGGATAGATTTAGAAAGGTATGGACACTTTTTTGCCTGGCTGTTGTAGATCAGTTAAGGATTAGTCGCCAAAGGCGAAATTCAATGGACACTCCAATAGCTAGCTACTCCTAATTGTAAAGGATGGCCCTTGTTCCTCTTAGAGGAAAAGTTTAGACAGAATTGATAAAGCTATCCAGAATAGATAAAGTTAGTTTTCCTCCTGTAGTAACACTGGATCATCCTCGTCTAGAGAGAACAGTTTAGAACTGACAGAGCTACCCAGTATAAATAACTTTATGTTCGTATGCTACTGTTTCTAGTTGGAAGAGGATGAGAACGATATAAATAAACTGGAGTGTGAATTATCTAAAGTCAGTTTGATTGAAGAAGACTTGCCAAAAGAGCAACCCAAGGAGACTGAGAACCTCTACGAGCCTGCAATCATTGTTACTGGTTCAGCGGCTTACTGGATGAAAATGATCTCGTCTCAACCAATCCCCATCAAGGAGCGTTTGTTCAACAGTTGAAGGAACTGGCGGCAAAAAAGCAAGAAATTTTGAACGATAGTTCTTTAAGTAAAGAAGAAAAGAAGGAAAGCTTACATTCTTTACAGTTCACAACAACCACTGGTGTCACGTGTCATGTCGAAGATCTAGGGTGAGTTATGAGGGTCTCTCCTCTGTAGAACCATAAAACTGTAGAACCATAGAACTGTAGAACCATGGAACGATAGAACTGTAGAGTTTAGAAAGCATTTCAATTCAAGGGTCTGATTGCTTACTGACACATTTGTCAAGATTCTTGACTGACATCTTACAAGATATCTTCACTGATAGCTGACAAACGATGAAACAACAATTTGCAACCAGGCCCGCCGAAGGGAGGGGGCACTTTGCCCCGGGCCTCCAGCTCAAAAGGGCCCCCAAAGCAACGAAGGTCTTTAAACGCTCTTGATACAAGATTGCTTAACTGCGAATATAAATTCTAGCTGCGTTAGTGTCGGATAATATGCAATAAAGTGTAATATATTCTAAACGCTTCTCCCGTTTTACAATTATGACGTCATAGGGGCCTTGGGAAAGTTTTGCCCCAGGCCCCGCGCAAGCTCTGCCCTGTTTGCAACTGACAGCATACAAAATATCTTACTGACAGCAGAATGAAGATATTTTCAACATTGTTTTGCAGGCTGACCTTCCAATACTTCCCAACATCTCAAGTTTACCAATACAGCGCCGTGGACCTCAAAGCTGACGGAGAGGAGCAGGCCCTGACGTTGGGCAACATTGAAGAATACATACATCTCATGACTGATTTTTGTCTCTATTCTGGAATCAAGAAACAAATGGACGCATTTAGAGGTACTGAGACGTTGTTTAGTCCGTTTCCTGAATTTTTGTGCTGTATTGGTCTGCTGTATGATGAACTCGCTATAGATCTCTACTGGAAATAGTTTTCCTGAAAGAGAATAATACTTCATAACACATTAACATACGGAGACCTGATAATCAAATTTGGCGACCAAATCTTATTCACTGGTAGCCACTTGAATGACAATCTCGTTCCCAGAGTATGCCTGTTCGCGGGTTAGGTAGTGTCATGCCACAACCTAACCCGCGAACAGGCATACTCTGGGAACGAGATTGCTTGAGTGACTAAAACAATTTATGATTTCAACCCTTGCTTCCAGGCGGATCATTAAGGAATCAGGATTGAGTAATGTTTGTTTCTTCTACAGATGGTTTTAACAAAGTGTTTCCCATGGAGAAACTGCAGCCATTTTCTCCATCAGAACTTCAGTTGATGATTAGTGGTGAACAAGTGCCGCAATGGACGAAGGAAGATGTTCTCAGTTATACAGAACCGAAATATGGTTTCACTCGAGATAGTCCAGTGTATCAGAGATTTGTCAATGTTCTGGCTGATATGAGCGGAGAAGAGAAGAAGGTGCGTGCTAAATATCTTTCCTAGAATGCTGAATTGCAAAGGAGGCCTTACTAGATTACGATTAAGATTGGCATTTCTATAGCACAAATTTAAATGTAGATATGATCAAGTGCACTTTACATCAAGTATTACGCTCATCTAATTACATACTTAGCCTGGACTATTTTATCTTTACAACAACTGTGATATTACTTTCTGAACTGTATTTATCCTAACCCACCCTATCAACTTTCCCTGTGGGAGGAAACTGGGGCACCAGGAGAAAACCCACGACTTTCGGCAGAGCGTTGACTGTGGCTACTACCATACTGAACACTGTTTTCCAGCAATTCTCTGCCTTGTTGTAAACATTTCTTCAACTAGCAACTGCATGTTGGGATCTCTCGGGATCCTGAGGAACATTTGCAAGAAGATTGAGGAACGTCTTCACACATTCATATTTCCTTATCTTTCATTTGAGACATGTAAGATAAATACGGTCAAGTATATTTTGTTGTTGAATCCATAATGGTGTAATGTACAGTTGAATTTTCATTGTTTTTGCGCATTCAGAGGAACATTTGAAAAAGGTCAATTCGGGATCCGGGAAACATTAATTCCAAGACTGACTTTTCCCTGAGAACTCAGCATTAAACTGTTTAACTTGTGTTTGTTTTCATACTCTAGGCATTTCTTCAGTTCACAACTGGATGTTCGTCTCTTCCTCCTGGTGGCTTGGCGAACCTACACCCTCACTTGACTGTCGTCCGCAAAGAAGGGGAGGGGGATGGGTCCTACCCCTCTGTCAACACTTGTGTCCATTATCTCAAGTTACCAGAGTACTCGTCTGAGGAAATATTGCGAGAGAAACTGCTTGCAGCAACGAAGGAAAAAGGTTTTCATTTGAACTGAAGGAAGTGATGCTGACGTGATTTGTGTTGCAGCAACGAATGAAGAAGGATTTCATTTGAACTGAAAGTGACGATGCTGACGTGATTTGTGTGTGCAAAGACAGTGAACTTCTAACATATATTTGAAAGAAAAGTGATTTAATATATAGATATTGTTTAAAACTTGTGATAGCACGAATGGTTTTGGTGTTTAATAGTTTGGGCTCAAGTTTGAATGTGAAAAATTTCAACCCATACATTTGAAGAATGACTTAAAGCTGTATATGTAAATGAATAAACTTGTGATGGCTGGCATAAATGTTTTTTTGGTATTTTGATGGTTCTACATGGTGACCAATAATTTCAACCATATTTTAGTAAAATAATATGCTGTGTTAAGATGAAGTTATATGGGTTGGATGTGAAGATTAAAAGATCTTGCACAACATTTAATTTTGATGTTATATAGTTAGGCACTTTGTAATGAAAATTTCTTTAAATTAATAAAACATTTGAGTTATACAGCATTCCTTCATTGGTTTGATGACGAGGCAGAGGGGTAAAACGCAATCATTAAAGCACCCAAGAATCTCCCTTGAGGAGTAAATTCATCTCAATCTGTCATCCGGAGTAAAATAACAATGTACAGCAGGGCACATCAGAACTATGTTCTCACATATAATTCAATTTGAGGTGTTTTATACACAATTTCTTACTGTTATTGACTTCTTTGAGGTTCTATATTGCCCTTTAACCTGAATTTACATTTTATCAAACTCCAGTTGGGACAGATATAAACACGCCAAAACGCGGGAATTTTGAAATTGTGGCTATTATAAAGTATAAGCGGTTCTGTTTACTTTGAACGAACATTATATTCAGTGCAATACTGCAATGAAACTAACATAGAAAATCTAACTAGAACACGTACTTATTCAACTACATATTGAATACAAAATATTTCATTTTTCTCACTCAGAAGAGTAGAAGTTATTTCATTTCACAACGCCGGCAAACTATGAAATTTTAGACAACAAATATACTTGAATACAGAAAGAAAACTGGATAGCTTACATACCTATGTATAGACGAAGCCTTTTCCCTTTCAAAGATAAACATACCACTGCAACTTTAGTTTTTTTCAAGAGGTTTAAGTCCACATTTAAGTAACATCAAAATCCTCGTGGTTAATATACTGAACCGTGCTTTAAACTGGCCGTCTTTTCCCGACAATTCACGAACTTAGTACGAAGATACCGCGAGAATGTACCGATTGTGCGCGTGCTGTCCAGTGAACTGTGCTGATTGGCTAATCAATCACATGAACCATTCATTGGTCCACTTCAATAGTGGAACCAATGGAAAAAATACAAATGGTTCAAATGTTTGTAATAGAGAGGACAGACAGGTTCAGATTTGACTTCCACTGACTTAGTACGCTCATCTGATTACCAGGTGATCTCGTGTTCGTATTTTAGCCAATCAGCGCTCAGAAAGGGTTGTCCGAATAGAAATCCATTTTGATGTATTCAGTCAATTATATATTTCGTTATTCTTTATGAAACTAGTTGACATTTTGTAATTATGTTTGCTTATGAGAACTATAGCTCTGACAAAAATATGGAATCGAAATAAAGAATATTACAGGAGATATTCAGTTGTTTTAATCATAAAATGGATTTCTATTTGACAACTAGTGCCAGTACTTTTCCGCGTATCAAGATCATCTGGTAGTTATAGTAATGGAGCCTTTAATGAAAAAGTAGTGCAGAAAATATATCTGAACTATCTAATGAACAAAAGTTGACTGCGAGACTCATATTTTCTTTCATTCTCTCATATTTCTGAACAACTCAGAATGTTAAATTTAACGCAAATATTTAAATTTATCACTAAAGATTTACATGTATTACACATAGTGTCTTATAATCATTTACTAAGTTTGACTCAACTTAATCTGTACAAAAATGATACACTCTAATTATATCGGTCAAAATCATCCCTCGTTTATGCTGTTAGAAGTTAATTTGAGAAATATTGATATGGAGATTTCTACGAAGAATTCTAGTTAGTATTCTGTAGGCCCCCTGATACAAAGCTGGAAATGTCGTAATTTTAAAATGTGCATCGCTAGCAGTTGTCAAACATGGTCAGAATTTCACCTCAGCTTGCACGCAGCATTTTCGCATGTTGTTCTTGAAAACCTTTGCTTCTTATAACCACATATACTTTTTTTAAAAAAGCATTCGGTTTTAAGAACAACATCCATGCATTCTCGAAAGCTTCTCTTTCTAAGACATCTTGAGATTATCTTAGAAATCTTTTAGAACGCTTTCTAAGAATAGAGGCAATCTCAGAATTTTCTTATCACTCTTTCTAAGAAAGGAGAATATTCTAGAATTTTTTAGTCTCGACGTTCCTTTCTCTTTCTTGGACAGTTGGTTTGGGAGAAGGTTTCTCTCCTTGCTTAATCTTTCTACGACCGCCATATTTTTTCACATCATCTCCAAACACATCTCCAGTTCTTAAAGCGGAAATTAAATCATCAAATTCTCTCCTGTTCGATTCCCCCTTTTCACTCGCTGTGTTTTCTTGTTTACCACTCGCGATTTTCTTCGCTACGCTTTTCTGACGGTCTCGTTCTTTTTGCTACAAATGGTAAAAAGTCGAAAATATTTGAAATGATGCTACTCCAGTCCAATGCTTTGCTATAATAAACAAACATATATTATTCAGCTCACTCGGCTGTAGAAAAAGAAAATTTTCTTCTTGGCAAATATAAATTTCAGTTTGGACCTCGGAGCCCTGCTCTCATTAGTAAATTACGCAAGGTGATTGGCTCTCGATTCATAAGAGCGAGGCTCCAAGGCAAAATGTCGTAATTATCGAAAGGGTGTATTCGTCTCTATCTAATGCTGTAAACAAACGGATCATCCACTAAAACTATCTCGGCGCAATCCAAGAGATTTTAGATAGTTCGTCTATAACTTTTGTGTTTACGCAAAGACTGATGAAAAATTTTTCTTTTTAAAACATTTTGAAGACTGACGAAAATGTTTCTTTTTAAAACATGTTCTTTAACAATTACCTGAGCTTGTTCCCTCGCTCGCTTTTCTTCTTCCAACTTTTTCTTCTTTCGTTTTTCATTTTCATTCTTCGCCTCCTAAAATTTTGAAATCATAATGAATAACAATTGTCGTTTAAGCGAATCAAGTGACAATTTTTCGTATTTCACAAATACTTACAGCGAACGATACTAAAAAGGTATTAAAAATGGCAAAGAATGCATCCGAAGTGATAGTCTTGGGATCTTCACCAAACGCAATCACAGATTTTTCATACTGCAAAATAACAACACAATACAGTAAATGGGGATATAGTCATAGATAAATCTTTGAAATAAAAAAAACATACTCTGGTTTTCATTTCTTTCCAAGAATCATCTAATTCTGTGAACGAGGCTTTAGTTGTTGTGAGAAACGAGCCTGTTTCTTGGACAAAATTATCACCCGTTGATTTATCCTTCCTTTTGCATTGATAGTCGTATTCCTGAGAAAAAAGACAAAAAACAAAACACATGAGGAAATATTTCAACACTTGGGTTCAACAATGAACAGCCTTGGCGGGGCATGCTCTCCTGGAAAACAATTGTGGATGCACTTGGATGGTGGATGCAATTTGGAACAATTGTGGATGCAATTTGGCGGCGTCATTGCGGTTTGTATTTACCTTTTCAACTGCTTTAAAATCTGTCTTTAAAGATTTGATTTCCTTTTCCATTTCTTGTAGGCTAAATAGAAAGCAATATAGTAAACAGATATTATTTCTATTTGAGAACCATCTTCACAGATATGAAAAACTAGTTTGAATATATTAGCTAGCTGTTTATTGGTGACTTTCAGTCAACGTCACGGGGGCATTAGGGTCAACTTCACAAATGTTGCCACTTCTGAACGCCCATTTCCACTTTCCGCAGAAAGAAAAATTTGTAAAATGTGATTGGCCGACACAAATTTTCCGCCGGAAAAAATTTTCTGTCCGTGGAAAATTTTCTTGAGTGGAAATGGGCTTTGAAAGCAGGAAAATTCGGTAATCGTTCCATGTTTCGCGCACCAATATAGTAAACGTTATGTAATGGATATTATAGTGTACTGAAAAGTTCACTAGATACCTCCATACACATAACACACCCTAACCCTAACCCCAACCTTAAACCTAACCTAACCCCTAACCTTAATACCTAACCCCTAACCCTAACCTATATTGGTGCGCGAAACATGGAATGATAACCGAAAATGCAATCACATCTCATCATCGGATTATTTTTCAAGCTTTCTGAAATTGCCCGCTGAGTGGTACAACCCAGATTAAACTAACGTGTTTATAAATCGAAGTCTCTTTCTACTGATTGTGAGGTCGACATCCGTATTTGTATGGATTTCCAGGCATTTTTGTAGCAAGGTTAAGAAAAATCACTATCCGGTGGATAGCCTATCCTGAACCTTCGTACAATCAGCCCCAATTCTGTATGAGTCATAAATATTAAATTTCTCTTCCTCACCTGACTTTGGCAGCAGTTCGAACATCACCCATTTCATCTTCAAGCAGAAGTATGCCTGGAAACTAAAAAGAGGTAAAACTGAAATTAAAGCAAAGATCTATTTTAATGACAAATAAACAACTGAGTTGACCAACCTTCTGCTCCAGTAACATAATTAAATAATCCAATAAATTAATCTTGTTATTTGAACTTGATTTTGTGTCCATTATTTTGTTGATACTGTTGATTTTGAACCCTGAAAAATGGAGAGGGATTAGGTCAACTTCATATTTAATCTCATTTTCACCATCATCAACATCACCATCATCTTCATCACCATAATCACTACAGTCTAGCACCATGACTATCATATTACAACTACAATCATACCATCATCACCATATCACCACAACTACCATCATGACCATCATCACAAGTACTACAATCATCACCATCATCTTCATCACCATAATCACTACAGTCTACCACCATGACCATCATAACAACTACCATCATCACCATATCACCACAACTACCATCATGACCATCATCACCACTACTACCATCACAACTACTTAGTACTATCACCACCACCTACCCGCGGCATTTCCTCTGGCTCCTCTGTTCATGTAGTTTCCAAACGCCAAAACAACCTCGAGTAAATCTCGGAATTTTCTGCTACGGAAAACTTGTTTCGATGCTTCCGTCATGGCTAACAGAGATAAAAAGATGAGCATCGCAATTGACAATTCCCATTAGACTAATTTTAAAACTAGGCAAGGAGATGCAAATAAATCACCCCAGCTAGAAAGAGCATACTAAAATTGGAAAGTTTGGTTGCGAAATGTTGTAAAATGTGGAAAATATAGCCTTGCAAAATTCGCAAATTTTGTATACTTTTGTATTGCGTGCGGAAATTGCTACCACATCGCTACCACACACCGCACGCAATACAAAAGTATACACTAGGAGTGGGGAGGGGAGATTAGCATACCTTTAACTTTTGGTTTGATATCTCCCATTCTTTCTGGGAAACGTTTGAGGTAGTACAAAGTTCGCAATCGCTGTTCATAGTGAGTAATTCTAGAAAATAAATAAGTCTGAGAAATATTCTACTTCGGAGGCCAAATGTAGCATTTCATCGTGATTTAATAACCAAGATTCAACGTTTCACAATTTCTGCACATGGCTTCATCAAATTCTTGCTTCCTACCTGCACATTTCATATAAGAATCTGTCGGCTTTAGCAAATTGCTCTTTCTGTTTACTGTGATCGTTCAACAGATTCTTCTCTTGGGGAGTAGGAACAAATTTCAACAACTAAAAAATTTGAAGAAAACGAACATTGAAAAAAAAACAACCACGTAATATATTGACGTGGAAAATTTTAATGCACGACATGATTGTTCGAAACAGCAAAATAAATTGTATAGTCGAGCAACCTGTTCCAACATTTCAACAGAGAGTTCGTCTTCTTTATCCATGGAAAGAACTGCCTTGGCAAGAACTTCATTTGATGTTTTTAATTTCGACAGCAATATCTGACAATTCTAAATGAAAAAATAGTCAATAGCTCAAGTCCGTTCTGCAAAGCCAGATCAACAAATAATTTTACCTCAGCTGTATTTAATGTATATCACAGTAAGTTAAGTAATATTCTATAATTTTCTAGTTTTTATATGAAGTTTCTACAGTATCTGTACCTACCTGAGCCTTCCGACTGTCAATTAAAGACAATTCTTTATTTTTCGTTTGAGAAGCAAATCGATCGTCAGGTCCATCTTTCTAAAACGAGAAACAAAAAATCGCTTTTAAATTCAACAATTCAACTTCAGAACCAGCTGTAACCTTGATATCACGCCTCGATCAAAGTACGGCGTATATAAACGGTTCCATTTTGCAAAACCAACCTGGTCAGCATTCTTTTGGTAAGCTGAAAACATTCTGTCAAAATCAGTGAAGTCCATCACTTGATGAACCTGGACAACAAAGATACAAGAAAAGTTAAACTGCTATTCCTGTAAAAGATTTGCTCAAAATCATGCAATTCTCATTTTGTTAACCATGAAAAGTAAGAGAAAACAAATTAAAAGGGTCATGTTACCTTTGAGTCGTCAATCTCTGTCCAAACTGTTCCTTTGATTTTCGTCTGAAGAAAGATTTTGAAAGAAGAATTTTGATTTACTTTATTTATACTGGACAACTCTTCAAAATAGTTCTCACTGCAGGTGCACTGAGTAAGGCCCTGCTCTTATTGATGCAGTGTTACTCAGGAGGAAACCTAAACTAAACCAACTTTATTTATACTGGTATAAACGTTTCTCCCAAGAGGTTTCCATGGAGAACACCTGAGGTGTATAGTCAACTGAGATGAACTCATAATCAGACAAGAGCATCTTTCAACAGCATATTTTACTTGTCGACTAATTCGTCTACGTGAAGACATTAAACTCATAAACACTTACATCAGGTAATTTGGACCAATTAAAAGACTTGAGAGGTTGAGAAGGTTTAGGGACGTTTCGATTAACTTTCTTCTGTAGCGCTCCGGGTAAACCAGGAGCACCAGGGGCTCCAGGTGGTGGTGGGGGACCTAAATGGATAGCGTTGTCATCAGTACTAAAAGCTGGCTGAATGCTTCGCTAACTACTGTAACCTAACTGACAGAGTAATTATTGTAAATGCCTACGTAACTGACTGCCTAAATGGACACTGCAACTGACTGACTTTTTCCCTCGAATTTGTCCAGATGCATTTATAATTAGTAAGGTCAAAGGTCAACTTAGGTTAGAAAAAAATTTCCAACTGCACACTGGAATCCTTAAGGAGTCTTTTAAAGCCGTTTTCAACTTCAACCATATCGTATCGTATCGTACCGTAGCATTTTCTTTGTGTCGAAGTCATTAGTTCCACTCTAGTGGTCAGGAAACAAAGAAATACGCTACATCACGATACGCTTGAAGTGGAAAACGGCCTTTACACACACATTGTTATTCACACACGTGATACAGTTAAGCTCTGGGCAAACTAGGACACATTGTTTCCACTATATTGTTTCCTCCACTTCTGGAAAGCAAATTTTTTTTTCTGCGACAATGTTTTCAAAAATGGGTAAACATTGGAAAAAACATCGCAATTTTCAAATGTTTCTTTGTCCATCTCGTACCCAGCGCCTTCCAGCGGTCAAAAGGGTCTGGAGGAAGGCCCTGGGTACGAGGTTGTTTCGTTGTTTGCCAAGAGCGTTTAACGAACAGGAAGTACAGTGAAGCTTTGGTATATCTCATCAAACATCATATTCAAGACAAAACACAAAACAAGACATCTTCCAACAAATACGATCCCTCCTGAATATTACCTGGTATACCTGTCCCAGGTGGTGGCGGAGGAGGTGGGACACCCCCCGGTAATGGTGGCGGAGGTGGTGCCCCGCCGGGGGGTGGTGGTGGTGGTGGCGGAGCTCCAGGGGGGAGTAATCCTGCTAGTGGTGGAGCCGGAGGTGGTCCACCTGATGTCTCAAGGTTTGGTATTTCTGAGGGGGCACCAGTGCTGTTTTTCACGAAGTAATCAACAGTGCAATCTTCAGGGATTGTGCCGCCACATTTCTTGATAATTTCTTCAAGTTTTTCTTTCACTTTCTGATGAGCGTCAATCTGAAAACATGGAAACACAATGTATCCTTCACTCGTTCACACAAGTGTCATTCTATCATCAGACTATGCAGCACATGCCAAACTCTTTACCAACTCGAAACGTCTGGTATTCTCATTGGAATGTTTAAGGTTTGTCATTACCATCACTTCCCCCGGGCAGTTAGAACAACCTATTAAAGTCACGTGAGTTATCAGCCATGCAGATTTTAAAATGCACTAGGCAACTGGACCTACGCCTCAGGCTAGGCTGCGCAGGCTATAACGTATATTCAAACACACTCAGGTGAAGTAATGCGCTCGCAAGAAACGCACAAGAAGCTCCCACAGTTGTGTCAGTTTTATCCGTAATAAAGATGAGTAGCTTACCAACATAGCAGCACTGTTCACTTTGCCATCAAGTTCTCGTATTCTTTCAAATGCTTCATTTTTCTCTGCTGTTTCACGATCAAATCTGATCTTTTGTTTGCCCATTTCCTCACTTACTTCATCCTATGGAGAAAGAAAAACGACAAACAGAACGTTTAGTAAGTAGTAGATTGAACACTTCAAGCTGGAAACGATACGACTCTCTTCTTTCGTGTACACAACAGCCAAAAGCCTAAAAATAAATATACAGCTACAGTATTAGACGATTTAACAACATTAATGCGAACCTTTTCTTGTATGGTTGATTCTAACGTTTTTTCTAACTTTCCTAATTTGTCTCGCATTTCTTCCAAATCTACAAGTCAAGAAGAAATGAAAAGAAATTATTACAGTATAATGGTAAACAAATCATACAACGCTATGGTTTGCATTAAAACCGTTTTCATTTTTTTAAAAAAATTCATGAAAATCAACCCGAACCTTCCTCATCTTCGATTCGCTTCCTTTCTTCGTCTTCGGCTAACCTGAAACGTGTTTTCAAAAACAGAAGGTTTGTTTACCCGTCAAGAAGTAGTAACAATAATGTAATTTTCCCAAATTGTTGCATGTTTGCCACTCACAATTTGTTGAATTGGAGGACGATAACAAGCTGCTGGAATAACATGTAACAAATCTTGTTTTTTTCTGTGTTGGTGTAATGTACTCAGGTGAATATGATGCTTGTGATGTTACTCTGAGTGTATATCCACACCGGCAATCGTAGGTTCGATTCCCACCGTGGCCAGGCATGGCATATTTTTCAACCCTGCCCGGTGTGGATATACACTCAGAGTAACATCACAACATCATGTAACAAGTCTGTTGAGTCATCAACCTTGTAGCAAGTTTGATATAACACACCTCTGTTACAACTTGTTGACAAGTTGGGAACAATGCAGTACGAACGCATGTTGGAACAACTTTGCAATAATTCTGGTGCAGGACATTAACAACTTGTGCGTTTTATCTTGTGTATGGAACTTACAGTTCAAGTATTTGAGTAACATTGATATTGAGCAATGCTACATCTGGATCTCCACCATCTTCTCTCTGAGTGCTGATCTGTTGAACCACTTTGTCTGTGAGGTCCCAAACCTTCCGCGATGCCTTGCTGTCATCTGGAGTGGAAACATTTTATCACCTTCTAACAACTGTTCCATTTCCACTCAGGAATTTTCCCGCAGAAAGAAAATTTTGTAAAATGTGATTGGCCGACACAAACTTTCCGTTGGAAAAAAACTTTGAAGTTTTTTGGAAAATTTTCGAAGAAACAATGATATTTTTGGAAAATTTTCTGTCCATGGAAATTTTTCTTGATGGACCTTAACAGGATTTAACTGCATCTCTCAGTTCTAGTTATCTACCAGCAAATACAAGACTGCCACATATAATAAACAATGAGCATTATTTTCTCACTCTGATCACTGCAGTCGACTACTGTACCATCTGCTGCACGATACTTAACCAATAGAGTGCTGGTATTTATTTGTCTTTAAGATTGCGCGCACACGTTTTTTGGAAGAAAGTAATAACAACATACTTGGGAAAAGAAGGAAATGTTGAAGAATTGAGAGAAAGTGAGGAAAAGCTTCAGTTTGACCAATCTTTTGTTTGATCACATCCACCATGTTTGTAGAACTTCTCAAGTCCACAGTTTGCTGGAAAATAAAACTTTAAAGCTGGCACCAATGTAAAGCACACTGAGATCATGGGAATCAATCAACAAGGAACCATCAAGACTCAAACTTACAGCACCAAGTAACTTTGCCAAATCTTTTTCATCCTCATGACGCATCATTTCAAAGAAATCCAAATGTCTAAAATTATGCAGTATGATAAAATTATTGGTTATTAATTTCAAACGCAACAGGCTGCCATGGTTGGTGTCTGAACTACCTGAAAAAGATACTTTGGACTTTCGAGCAAAGAGCCACACTACTATAACCTCCTGGTCTTTGCTCAAAGTGTCGAAGAGTTGACCTTTTCCAGGCAGTTCAGACACTGGACTCGTATGTACTACTTACCTGTCCAGATTGGAGTTTGCCATTGTTCTTAGTTTTTCAATTGTCGACTGAATCCCAAGCATAAGGAATTCATATCTCAAATGAATACGAAACTCTAAATGATCCTACAGAGGAATAGAATTTTGGAAAATGTTTAATTACTGGGCTGGTGAAATTAAAAACCAATTCTTAAGTCTATGTTTGTGAAGAGATTGAACAACAAGTAGTTAAGATTAACACAGGCACATTTGAACATAAAATGTATGTCTGATATCTTACCGAGCCAGCGCCGTATCTGAGTGAAGCATTTACAAAAGACATTATCACAATTTTAAGATTGAATTCATCTTTATGGCTTCCAGTACTTCTGTCAAGATCATGCATTAAGCTCTAAAAAAAGAGTAAAGAATACACGAGTTTCACTAAGCACTTTTGTGCAGTATATATGATGGTCAGTCTGCAGCTATCAGAGTAAATGAATTATGAAAATATGTTCATTCTCTTCAGTAGATGTAGTTTGCTGGCCAATAAATAGCCAACATTTCTCGCCACCAACCACATCTAAAATGTTGAGTTCTATTGCAATACCTGGAACCGTGTCCTTTCCATAGCATATACTTGATAATGTGTCATTGCTTCTAAAGCTTTCTTATGACCACCGGGAACTAAACATATTGCAGCCAGTATTTCCACGACTGAAAAGAAATTAAAAGTTAAAATCATGAATAACAGAATATATACAATGTTCAGGCCATTATTTCACAACATGCTTTCAAATCTTTCTCCTCATATTTTTAATCTCTTCTAGATAACTTGTTTCACTATATAGGGTCTTGGTGACACAGTGGTAGTACTAGGGGTGGGTGGGGTGGGTGTACTTTTCACCTCCATGATCAAGGTAGTATGCTGTTGTCGGAGTATGGAGAGTACTTCAAAGTTGACCTTTTCCAGTCCTCTCTGAGGGAAAATAGCCGAGTGAAGAATGTGTATTCTTACCAGCAACTTTGGTCTTTATATTTTCAGTTCTTAGACTTTGGGCAATAATGTTAATACATTGAGGATGAGACAAGGAATGACTTCTACCATGCTGCAAAATACAAAATGAAAAGAATTTAACACCTTAATTGTCACCTTATCAAGCCTTCAACTGTTATGTGTTCAGAATTTTAGTTATGTTTATAATATACAGAGTATACTCACGGAGTTATTCATTAAGGCTTTAAAACAACCTATGACAGCAGTATGAATCTTGCTTTCACTAGATTAAAATTAGAATTGTTATAATTGCATAGTTCTAAACAAGAAACCATGAATCTAATTTCAGCAACAATATCAATACAAAACACACCATGTGTCATAGTCCATATTTTTGAGAAAATCCAAGAGACATAGCATTCCATCTTTCTCAATAAAATCATTGACAAAACTAGAAAATATTAATACATTTTAAAAACAAGCTGGCAATATGCGCCATCTTCAAAACTACACTAAGCAATTAATGAAGTAAACAAATAATGCATCGACATTGTATGAGCTTTTAGTCTAGTAAAGTTCATATGCTCACCTTATTGGCTGAGTTCTTAATGCAGTTTTTAGATCATCAACAAGTTTTGTTCGGGTCTCAATTTCTTCATCGCTTCTTGAGAAATACAGCTAAATGTGAAATGGAATAATGCCCATGTATCAAATTTAGAAATAAATTGTTACAATGTATATTTTAAAGGTTACAAATTGTCAAATGTATACTAAATGTTACACATTGCTACAAATTTTATTTTTAACTAGTATTTTTTCTTACAGAATTCAAGCTTGACATGCGATCAATGTAATATTCTGGGTAGTCTGTGGAACTTGGCTGATCCTGGAAACAAAATATGTCAACTGGTTATATTGAATAATGGCATGAAATATCTAACATAATCTCGAATGATCAGTGTGTAGGTACAGTGGCAATAGAAGAAAGTTGCAAAGTGATAGGATACAACTATCTGAAAAATACAAGGAAAACGTCAACATTTCGAGCAAAGGCCCTTCGTCAACTACTTTCAACAAAGGGCCTTCACTCAAAACGTTGAAGTTCTCCTTGTATTTTCCAGGTATTTGCATCTCTATTAATCCACAGCTGTCTCATATCTAACATGCTGTTATTTACAGGGTGATGTTAAAATGTTATGATAGATATATTTGAATAGTGAAGCTGTCATGGGAGTTGTGTCTGAACTACCGTACATACTGTCTATTCAATGGATGCAATGAGTACTCTACTTATATAATATTCTATTTATAATTTTATAAATATAGAACTGATGTAGTCTTCATGGTATTTTTATGACTTCCAAAAACCAACAAAGGTTTTTCAAAAGATTTGGTGATAAAATACAGACATTAGAAAGCATTGCCCAGCAACCTTCATCACATATACTTACAGTAACAAGAATACATTACATAATCTTCTTAGAGATAGTTCCAGTCAATTAAACATCATTATGCATTTATTTAAGATGGTATTTCAAGTGGCATTGTAAAGGATTAAAACTAATTGAAGTTTAAAAAACTCTTTTACAAGCACTTAAACCATACTGTAAAAAATAATCTTGAAACTTCCTCAGCACGTACTATACAACTATCCTGACATTTCGAGTGAAGTAATGATGCAATATCTCAAGTACCTTTTTCTTTGACTGATATAGCTGCCATTTTTTCTCAGCAGGGAGGTCAAACATCGCTTTCTTATTTTCTCCAGTTAAGTCAAGTTCTTCCTAAAATTGGAAACCCAGAAATGAGAAACTGACATATAAGAGTACAGCACAATATATTTTATAAAATAGCAACTACATTCTTGCTTTGTTAATAATTCAACATATTATAGGGACTGCGTTTTTCACTCAATGAGGCGTAAGACAAAATGTTTAGTAAGAATGTTGGTTAATTATTAAACCAAAGCTTTTTAGCCAAGTTTTTCTTTCAATAATTAACACACTGAGTCCCAGTCCTCTCCCCTTGACAAGTAAAATTGTCTGGCATCAGACAGAGTACATTGGGGCACAATGCAACACAACTGGCAAAAAGAATTCCACTCAAAATTTAGTAAATATTTAAAATATTCAACTCAATTTAAACAGCCCACTGTCTATAATGCATGGTATCATTTGTTTTCACACTATGGCAACTCAGCATGCTTGCTAATACAATACTTGCATTGAAGATATATTTAGTCAATGTTTAAGCATTAATTGTCTTCCCAACTGTTTCATATATAATACTGTTGTTATCATGGGGATTGTGAGGAGGATTGTGGGGGAGATCGGGGGAGGGGGGGGGGGGAGAGGGGCTGCATCCCCAACTTTTCAGACATTCACATCATGATTTACTATAATTTACATCTACTGGCTGGCTCCATCCCTCACTTTGTGAAATGAATAGCTGGTCTTTATCATTACATGACGTTAGACATATAAAGAGCTAAAGTATGTCCCAACACAGATGCCTCATCTGGAAATTTCAAGATGTATTTAGATTAGAAAGAGACTAAGATGGGAGCTTGACATTCTTTGTTAAAGTGCACGTTCACAGTCATATTTCTAAACAGTCTTTCATTTGATATTATACTTGGAGGAAAGAGACCCACCCAGTCACTCAAAAGTTTGGCAGACATTATTTTCGTTTCCATATTTTTTATATGATTACTACATCCTATATCACATATACTTATCACTATTTAAACTTGAAACAAGTTGCCGTCATCATTATAGTTAATATTGGATGTTGATTGAAGGACGTAACTTGCTGAAAAATATCACACAAGGATGAGGAAAGGACTGTCATACAAAACATTGTTTCTATATTTAAAGCCTTCAATCAATTCCTTGAATGTTAATCATTCAATGCTGTCTACACTGGACAGGTCCAGTCCACTTTCTAGACATGTTTTAGCAAGTTAATCACATGGTCAAATTGCTCAAGATGCATTGAATGTACACAATCTGTCTGATGCCATTCTGTATACAGACAAAACATCAGCCCCAGCTAACCATCATACTGTATCCGCAAAAGGTCAAGTATAGTAATAATAAAACCATTCGTCACACAAAATTTTATCTTTTGAAGATCACTTAAAGTTAATCTTTAATATTTCAAAAAGTTGCAAAAAATTATTAAAAGTATCAAATTACCACATACTGTAGGGGATTTTACCAAAAACCAATATATTAAAGGTTTCATTTTCCAGACAGACTATTCACGTACTAATATTGTAAAACTGTTTTGACGGGAGAGCATTCCTTTAAAATGACGGAAGTGTAGATTACATTAAAAGTTTAGAGGGTTCGCTGCTTCAATCGATTCCAAATTATTAAGTTTATTATTTTAGCACAGCGGGATTTCATCCCGTGAAATTCAAAAGAAAATAAAGGTATAAATATTATACATTCCACACCACGCAAAGTATTAAACAAATCGATCGTTGCCAAATCGAAATATTTGAAGGATTTTCGTAAAATAATGCTATATACAATGCGAATCATGAAATAGTTGGAAACAATTAGCAACATTTAGCCAGCAATGATAGAACAATTATTGATTTCAACACAGACAACGAAATGTCGTTATTTAATCCGCCAAATATCAAAGATAATGCGTCCATACGTACCACTAGTTCAGCGAACATAGCATTGAGTTCTTGTTCTTCAGGCATTGGCGTTGTACACTCCAATGTGTGCATTTTGCCGCCCATTTCAATTCCTTCATATCGAATTTTACGTTTTTTCGTTTCACTACGCTTGCTTCTGCCACCAAAACAACCCATGAATTTGCCCGCCATTTAACTCGCGAAGACTTTAAGTCATTATCAATGTCTATTGACGAGTTATACTCTTTCAAAACAGCCTTTAAACGATGACCAAAGATCAAATATTACAGACAAATACGCAAAGATCATTCTCTTCTCGATATTCTCTCGCCATGAATGGCGCCGCCTCATTGTTCTCTCAGCCAATCACAGCCCTTGTTTAAGGCTAACATTTCGTAACAATTTCCGGTTTCCTGCCCACATCCTTCTATGGGGTTTGTATGGGGTTTAAAATATTATAAGAATTGTCTTTTTAGGCCTTTTTACCGGAGAATATTTATTTATTTATTTTGGGAAATGATATAAAAATATATAAATTTAATTCTACTTAATATGCTCTTGACTCGGGCCAACCAGTAAGTCAGTAACCGAGAAATGAACGGTACATGAAATACGAGGCCGAAGCCAAGTGTCTCGTGTAACACGAATTCATCATCAGAGTGTGAGAGAAAATAGCCTGGGTACGAGGTTGTTCCATTATGTGATTTGATTCTGGAATTTACAGCTCTATCAGTTTTAACTCGCTCTCCCTAGAAAACCAGTAAGGTTCATTTAAGGAAGAAACCAAAACTAAACTAACTTAATTCATACTTTATAGGCCTATCAGTTCCAAAGTGCTCTTCCTAGAAGTCAACAGCTCCAGCTGTAAGAATCACCCTTAAATGTCCGGGCTCAGTGTTATGTGGAATTTCTCTTCAAGTGAATGTAAAAAGAATAGTTTCAAATTGACTTTGCCTAACACCAGAAGATTTCTCCGGCTCCCTCCTTGCTGGACCTCTAGGAAGAACGGTTTAGAACTGATAGAGCTGCCCAGTATAAAAAAGTTAGTTTCGTTTAGGTTTCCTCTTGTAGTAACACTGGATCAGTAAGAGATGATCCTTACTGGACCTTCAGGAAGCCGAAGAACAGCTTAGAACTGATAGAGCTATCCAGTATAAATAAAGTAAGTTTAGTTTAGGTTTCCTCAAATTCCTCCCGTGATAACACTGGATCAATAAGAGATGATCCTTACTGGATCTCTACAGCGGACAAGTGCACCAAATACTTGGAAATAAACTGTTTTCCCTAGAGATCCAGTAAGGATCATCTTTTATTGATCCAGTGTTACTACGGGGGGAAACCTAAACTAAACTAACTTTATTTATACTGGATATTTTTATATTTGTGCTTATATTTTTCAGGTAGTTGCATATTCTTCACAGCAGCTGTCTCTAATCACAATACTAATCACTGCGCCACAACAAACAACCAAACTATGAAACAGGCGGGGAAACATGGCAATGTTCCTGTTCCTTAACGCCTTCATCGACGCTGACATTCTCTGGAACCAGTAATTCCAGGGTCCAATATTGTAATAACCTGAGCCGAAATCCAATTTCAACAGCAAAACCTATGCGGCACGACAGTTTACATATAAGCATTTAAATTTATGCTAAATGGCTTAAAATGATTTTGACATTATTGTTTAAATTTATCAAGCATGATAAACGAGCATGGCCCAAGTAACCGACTGTTTACATTTGTTTTGTTTTGAGATAACTTATTTGATCCAACATAAATGACAAGAGTTTCCAATACAGAACCTTGGATTAGACAGTATTTAATAAAAGTATTTATGAAGCTCTGGAAGTTATCAAGAGGAAATTGAGAAGTTTTGATTTTCAACTTTTCATAACAGATTTTAATGTGTGATACCAAGGAATTCGAATAATGACTCCACGGCAAGCTATTCAACAAATCAGCGAAAGACGGCATTTGCAAAACATCACAGCCAAAAAAGTTTATTTTGCGGATGAAAGGTACCATAACGTTTGTGAGGACACGCCATGGTTGGTAAACAAAACAGAATATGAAGCAAACAAAGAGATTAAGCAAAGTAAACTTGAAGAATTTTTGGCTCAAAGTGTAGAAGACCCGCGGAGTATACCTTGGATCGAGAGGACATACACTACACTAAGTATGTATCCAACACCAGGAAACTACCTTCAAGGTAATGCTGTTTTGACAAAATCCAGAGAATCTCCAACAAGATTCTATGATTGTAATAAAGAACGGCAAAGAAAAACATCTGACGTTTCTTTCACTACTTTGTACACTACATTTAAGAATGCGAGCGACGGAAACCCGAGAGCAAGGTGTCAGAAAATGGACGTTGTTTCTAAACCTAAAGCCAAAAGAGTAGGAAGGGTTGACAGTTGGTCTGAAAGTGAATATTCTCACTCGGGAATGTCTAACATACGTGGTATGGCAAAGAAAATCCATGATAAATCCACTGCGATGGAGAGTATCTTTACAGCGAATGAAAAAGACAGATTAAAGCCTGAAAGAAAGACAGTCGATTACAAAGTTGTCGGAACGGCTAAACACTTTGAAGAACAGGGTCAAAGAGTAAATAATAGTGGAACTAGTAGTCGAGGGATGGATGGAAACGATTCAACTAAACGAATTCGATTGCATATTTATGTTCCCACAGCAGAAATGAACAGTTAATTAGGGGAAATTAGTGAAGGTTTATGCTAAAGCCGCGGCTGTAAATAATGTAATATATAATGTAAGCAAAACTAATTAGTTAGGAAAACACTTTGTGCAGTAATGTAATTTTTATTCATGTACATCTTGAGAAATATCGAGGGCTTCTAAGCATGCATGAGTGTGTATTGTGCATGTGATGATAGTGAACTTCAGGAATATTGAAAATCTGACCCGACTCTTCAGGAAAGTAAGTCACCTTGACTGGAGAGCTTCGTTTCGCGATGTTGGCCTTTAAAGGCAGCTTTACACTATCAAAGTTTCTGTGATCACGGTAGGAATTTTGCCTCGGTAAATTCTAAGTTTTGAAGGATTTGTAAGAAATGTTTGAGGGAAATGACTTGGTGTTTAACATTAAGCCAATTTAACATTAAATTCTCACAAATTCTTCAAAACTTAGAATTTACCCATGCAAAATTCCTACTGTGATCACAGAAACTTTGATGGTTTCAACCAGCGTTACACTAACTGTGATATTCACGAAAACGAGGCTCTGAAAGTGACATCTTTCTGGAAGAGTCTGGGAGGGTATACTAAACTGCATTTCACAATATTTATCTCTAAATACAGAATATTACAAATTATGAAAATAATGTTTTCTCCCTGATAGCTGCTGGTTGATCACAACCCTGCTACATGCGGTAGTTACAGCTTGAAATCTACCTATAATCATATATGTTCTCACACTGGGTTGCCGTGTAGTCTGCCACCGCAAAAGTAGCAGTGCCTTTATTTATTAACAAATTGTTTTCATACACAAAATTAACATATAGACCCAATATTAATAACCCTAAACAACGTCTCGAACCACAAGGGTGGGCGGGCGGGAACTACCACACTTGCGGCAAAAGACAAACATGCTCTATCTCGAGGCGCATGCCCATATAAGGGCATAGCACCTCGCCCGGGGCCCCCCAGTGTGAGAACCCGTTTCTCGCTTCTTTCATACTTCAGCCAGCGAGAAACTATAATTATTTTTTCCCAAATCTTAGTTTAACATTCAAGACTTTTGGTACGTAGCGTATTGTAAGGGAGACGCGAGTGTCACGCAGCAATCTCTTGTTCTCTGGAACATTAAAACATGAATCCAGGTTAATAACTTTACCATCTAGGAGATCAACGTTACGTTCAGCAATACCATGAAGATATTTTGTATACATGTCCTCTGTTAAGATGTTTAGACTTCTTGGTTCCAGCAATAAAGACATGAAATGGCGTTGTTCTAGTGAGCTGTTGTCTTCCTTGTCGTTTTCCTGTAGACAGAGAGAACACAATATGCAGTTATTTGAAGCACTACAAGTTTTTAACATAATTTGAAAACACTTTGAGTACATGATTTAACTAATCAAACAAACCAGCATTCGACCCTTTTGAATGGCAATATATGCCCTGATGCCCCCTAGTTTACTAATCTATGTACTCTGTCCAACACCAAACAATTTTATTGGAGGAAGTGCTGCCACTCAATGGGTTAAATAAAATTCAACAGCTGACAAAGTTGACTTAATTTATGTCATGAAAGCAACAATACACTAGCTCATTTCCTTTGAATTTGCTCATGAATTTGCTGATGTCACGTTATGAGCAATAAGGGACTATTTCTCTATTTACTTTAGCAAAGGTATATAAACTTTGGTATTAGGGAAATTGCAGCACCCCCCCCCCCC